AGTCAACGTGTCACCAGGCGAAGCACTGATTTTATTTAAGTGTAGTGCAACAATAATCCAAACACAAAATCCACAGCAGTGATGATCCCAATTCCCAAGTTTCAGTGACTCTCCCAGATTCAGCTTCTCCACAGAAAGTCTCTCCAGAACTCTCACAGGATTTCTCCACAGGTATCTGCACACAGTAGGACAAAGATAAGTTTTCTTTACAGGTAAATGTGGTGATAGGGCCAATAATACAGTGGGCATTCGTGCATGTATGCATCAAGCACAAAGAGCGAAACCCTGTATCGGTGAGTGTATTTTTTTGTAAAATAACTAAATAACTAAATAAAATAATCACATGACTGATATAGCTGCTGTGTCAGGAAGTGGTGTGTTTGCATTTTTGGCTCATCATCACCCACTACACAACGGAACCATTTAGAGAAAGAACATTTTCTCCAGTCTGAGATCATTTAATCCTTCCTTCTCCCCTCACATACACAAGCACGTCCACTGTCAGGAGCATTTCTATTTCCTAAACAAAACTTTCACTCTGACTTGAAGTTCTTCACTTATAGGACCCTGCAAAAAACCAAACAAACAATTTTATAAAGTCTGCATTAAACACACTGTATTAATCATATATTTGTATTTCTAAATGAACAAATTATTCAATATATACACTTCTTCTCATTCAGTTAGCACTTTATCATTAGCTGGTTATTTAAACAGGACTATTCGTCACTCATTTGGTGTTTAGATATCAGTTAAGTCTCTCTCTACAGGTTTAATCCAGGTTGCCAGCTATATGCATACATATATATCATTTATGTATTTATTTTTTAAATCCATTGCTTAACCACTCCTTTTAGTGGCATCTCCAATAAAGTTATCGGTGATAGCAGGGTGGCACACAAAAGACAGGAAACTAGGATGAGTCACACTATTGCACATAGACCAGCACACCCACACCCACAGATAACAGAGGAGAGGTAGAGTGCTCAAGAGGGAGACAAAGAGGACAGAGGCACCATGACAGTTTGTTGTCCATGTCCTTGACCTCCTATTAGAAAGTTTCATGGCCGCTTTAGGTGAACGCTGTTCCTTCTTTGTGTAAAAGTGTTTCTGTGTTGCATTCATGCAGAGGCGGCGAAAGTACAGACATTCTTTATACAAATAGAAGTAGAGACACTTGTGTAAAAAATACCCAGTCAAAATCTGAAGTACTGATTCAGGTGGAAAACGTACAGGCTTTGAAATGTAACTAAACCTTCTGTTACATTAATGTAGGGTAGTCACCGGTTAAAGTGAGGTTTGGGGAGCCCTAAGTGTGTCACTGCTTGAACACGATCAAACTTCTCCTTCTGCAGGTATCCATGTAAACATGCTGTTACTGACAGGAGGGCCTGGAAAACAAAGGACCAGTATGCTGAGGAGAATTTAACAAGTTTTGTCTTCAGTCCCACTTGGATAGGTGTGCTGAAGGTCGAGAAGCACTTAGTGATGGATGGGAAATGCCCTACAATGACTGAGGGGGTTTGGCCCTTGGCCATTTTGAACTTCACATGGCTGCATGCTGAGGCAGCAACCCCTAACCCTACTCAAGTAAGTTAAAGTGAAGTAAAGACTCGTTGAAAAATGTACTTCTAAAAGTGCTTTTATTGCACCATGTTCATTAACTCATGAGCTGCTGTAACATGAATCAAATGGGTGAATTACAACCTCAGCATGCAGTCAAGTTCTATAGAGTCTTACTAATGACCTACTCGTGTTATTGAGGTGTGTTGCAGCAGGGACACATCGAAAAGTTTCAGGACACCTTGTCAAGTCTTTTTACACACAGCAAGTTTGTTGCTGTGTGTAATGTGGCTCTGTGTCCCTGAGGATATTCTAGTGCTTTCTGGCTTGTTTTGGATTCTTTTCCTCTATCGACAACATTAAAACCTGATGGTTTGAAATTAGTTTAAAAAAAAGGTGCATCCTGTCCACAGCACAGATGTCACTTGGCAGTTAGTGACGGTAACATTGTAATAAGTTTGCAGTGGTTATTTTAGGGGTGAAAATCTTGACTTTAATGTGGACTGAATTACAGAGTAAAATGCATACTTTACATGTTTCTAATTAGATTAAAGACTAATTTGTCTTTTCATTTGTGCCTGCTTTTTACTGTCCTTTTCCTTTCCTTTTCTTCATCTTCATAGTTCCTGCTGTAGTTCCCAATGCTTATAACCTTTTGGAGGTTTTTTTTTTCAGGGTTTTCTTATTGTTTTGGTGGTGTGGAGTATTGTAACAGTGGCACCTTCAGCTGATCTATTAGCTTTGCATCTGAGTGGGCCGAGTGTGGGTGGCAGGCAGTACATGATGTGGTGTGGAACCAGCTTCTTGAAACACTTTAACAGGTGTTAAAGCAACTGGTCGGTAGTCATTGAGGCTCCTAATGTTTGTTCGTTTAGGCAGTGGGACAATTCAGAATGTTAAAAGAAGACATGCAAGTCGCTAGTATTTAGCCATCACAAAATATTTGCAGAATCATAACCATATCACCATATCATTTTCCTTAAATCCAAAACTAATAATAAAATGATATCTCAGGATTGGCAACTTTATCATATTTAGGAGTATTAATCTAGCAATGAGTTCATGTCTAGTCATACAAATGTCTTCTGTAATTAAAAATGCAAGTACAGCATATCTGATTACCTGGTAATTTGTGTTGAATGAATTTTTTTTGTTTGCTCAACAGTTGTACAACTACTTTCCAATGCTGTTCAGTTGGGTTAAAGCCAGCAAAGAACTAATGGAGAACACCTCCACTAATAGGAGACAGATGGCAGCATTGACCAAGAGTTTGCAGGACACCCTTGATCCACAGTTGTGCAGAGTTTTGATGGATTCTTTTCTTGTTTGAAAGATTCAACTTCAGGTAATCACCTGATTTATTAAGTTCTCACTCAATTCTGTTTAAATTTTTGGATTGAAACAAATTTTAGAAAGAAATCTGCACATATAATTGCCAAGACCTAAATTGGATGAACTACATTTCCAAAGTATTCATATTATAGAGAACAATTTCTTCCTGTTCTCTAGTTGTATGTCATCTGGAAATATGAATTATCACTATCACAAAGACAACCTGCTGATTTCTGTTGTCAACCTATTTAGTGCTGTCACAGAAACTACAGTTATTTACATATAAAAGCAAGTTAAAAGGCTTAATATACAACATGTGCACCATTTCTGAGTTATGGCAAAGTTTAATAAGAAAATACTTTTCTATCTTTGGAGTTTAACTGTAATCACATCACTCTTGAAAGTCTTTCAGCCATTCTCACAATTATTGAATGAATAAATATTATAATAATATCTGTACACTAGAGAGCATCATTTCATAATTTGTTGTACATGAAGCACATGTTTCACTTGTTTAAAAAGCTGGTTGCAGACTTGCTAGTTACAAAAAACCCCCTTCACACTCAGTTAGTGAAGCATCACCTCGACCCTTTTCTGTTTCTTCCTGCCCAGGATGCACCTGCAAGTTTCCGCAACTCATTTCTAACCTCATGTAAATAAAGAAGTATCAGCTTTCTGTAAAATAAAACAGAGCTGCTACTTACTGGAAATGCTTCAGTTATGATCATCCTGAAAAAATTAGCTGAATACTGTTTACATTTTTTCTCTGATTGCACATCTCATGTGCTGTTAAGAAAGACTAAACTGAGTCCAGGTCTGTAACTTCTTTTCAGGATGCACCTACAGGCCTCAGTATCTCATTTATAAAGTATCAACTATCTATAAAAGCAGAAAATAGCTTGAAAGTTTTGAATTGCTGTAGATATTTTCTGTATTTTCAGAGTTTGCTTTCACTGGATCTTCACCATCAACTGGGCATCACCTTTACAATAAGTCTGGTCTCATTGACGTATGAAGATTTCAGCAATTCAATAAAGTTCAATAACAAGATCTGTACTTACTCCTCCAAATATCTCCATCTAAATTCTGTTCATCTATTAATTATGCTCATTCTATCTAACAACCTCTTCCTATTGAAATGGCTGCAGATGTGCAGATTTCTCTTTCATCTTACAGTTTCATCTCATTTTTAAATATTTAGATGATTGCATTTTTGTGGAAACCATAAATTTTGATGTCAGAGAATAGCGCTAAAGCTGAAATTGTCTACTTTACATTGCTTCAAAAATTTTACATATAATTGAAAATTCTGAATAAAGCACAAAAAAAAGGATCAAATATAACCAAGCATAATCCTGTTTCATTTAGGACGTGGAGAATGTAACCATTCCAATGTAAGAAACAAACAAATACATAGAAAAAAAAATGGATGATCTTGCCTGCCTTAAGTAGACAAGCGTAAAACAGCACCAATAATAGTAATTGTCATGATGTGCAGTGTGGCAGGCAGGCAAAGTGGATCCAAAATGCAGGACTCAGACACGGAAGTAAAACTTAAAGCGCAGCTTTATTGCTGGGGAAAAACCTCACTAAATTAAACTCCCCAAAAGACGAACAAAACTCCGGACAGAGGAACTAAGGACTCAAACACTGGAAAAGAACTGCTGGAGACAAAACACACAGCAGGTTGCGGGTGAACTGACATTAACGACACAACACTGACACAAGGACACACTGGGCTTAAATACACCGAGGGAGTCATCAAGGAATGAGAAACAGGAGGGAGACACAGCTGAGAGGGTTTGGGCTAACGAGACACGGGGAGCAAAGCTAGACGCACTGACACAACCCAAGAACTAACCCCTCACAAAGAACATAGAATAATACTAATAAACAAAGCATAACAAAAGGATCAGAATACCAAACCATAATACAAAGGAATGTAAGAACTGAAAATGCTGGGTCAAAGTGACCCAGGACCGTGACAGTAATAGTACTAATAATACAGGCAAGACAAAAAAAATAAATAAGCTCCGCCTCTTTTAGCTGTATTAAATAACCTCTCCACCACCATCACCACTGAATACTTAGCCCACACTGACAACATGCTGGTGACTCTCTGTGCAATCATCACTTGTCTAACATGTAAAGAGTCTTACTTACAGTATAGCTTAAACCCCATTTTACATTCATTTGTCAGTGTGTTACTCTTGACCTTATGTCTTCTTGTTGTTTGCAGGTGTGAGTGGTGTGACGGTGCTGACACAGAAACCTCCTGTTTTATCAGTGAGGAAAGGAGAGACAGCCACCATGGACTGTAACCTGGGGACTGTTGATAGCTATGTCTGTTGGTATAAACAGATTCCTGGAGGAGTTCCTCAGTATGTGCTGAGGATGTATCATACCTGGAGTTCTCCAACCTATGGCTCTGGGTTCTCTGCTCCAAAATTCACATCCACTCATCAGTCAACAACAGATTATCGTTTGATCATCAACAATGTGGAGCAGGGAGACTCTGCAGTCTATTACTGTAAGACATATGACGACTCTGTTGATGAGTTCGTATCACAGTGAATTACACTGTGACAAAAACCTCCACAGAGATACTTCTGCTTTTTGATGCTCTTTTTATAAAAGACACAAAAAACAAACTCACTGTAATCCCACCACCTAGCTGCAGAATTAAGAGATTAAAGAAGAATCTCAGATAGAGCTCTTCAGTATGTACACAGTATTTCAATGGGGACAATCAGATGCTAATTGTTCGAATGAAGTTACCTGAAGTGCTTTAATGCTGAGCCTTATATTAATCTAATATTAACCAAAATGCCATAAAATCATATAGTGTAGTATTAAGTGGACACGGCCCTGAAAAATAAAGGCATTAGACTATGTGTCCTTAGGGGATAGAAATGTAGTAGACCTTTGCCCACGTTTGCTTGTAGAGAGTAGATAATGGGGAACTGTGTTTTAGTGGAAAGTTACTGAAATGCTGTTGTTTAGACTAGAATGAGCAGTGTGTTGTCTTCCATCGGATGTCTATGAGGAATCAAAAGAACCTGGTGAAGTGTTGATATTTAACATAATTAACAGTTAAAAGCAGGAGACTCTGCAAAGTGTTACTGTGAAACATGGAGAGACTTTATTGGGGAGGACATAACACAGTGGTGAATACTGTGACAAAAAAACTAATAAAACAAACTAAGTGACACCACAGCTTTTGTGAAATCTGAACATATTACATTCCCAAACACACAGTGTGGAACAAAACACAGAAATACAGAAATGAATGTATCAGTCCACACCTATAATGTTTTAGGTAATATAATTTGGTCAGTCCTAGAATCATAGAATGGTAGCAGAAAACTACTCACTTTTTGTTTAAAATAATATTAATAATAGTAGTAGCAATAATAATAATAATAATAATAATAATAATAATAATAATAATAATAATAATAACAACAATGTATTATTATTAGTAGTAGTATCAGTATTAGTAGTAGTAGTAGTTAAAAATTATATATAAATTATAAAAAATGATGGATGATTAAGAAGAAAGGAAAGTAACCAATGAAATACAAACAAACAAAAACCAACAGCTCCTCCTCCCATTAGTTGTGTTAAATAGCTCTTCCAAATCTTTCACTTCTTAATTCTTTGCTCAAATCAACAACATGCTGGTGACTCTTTGTGCTCTCATCACTTCTCTAACATGTAAAGAGTCTGAGTTACAGTATAGCTTAGACCCCATGTTATATTCATCTGTAAGGGTGTTTCTCTTGACTCCATGTGTTCTTGTTGTTTGCAGGTGTGAGCGGTGTGACGGTGGTGACACAGAAACCTCCTGTTTTATCAGTGAGGAAAGGACAGACAGCCACCATGGACTGTAACCTGGGGACTGTTACTGACCAGTCTGCTCGGTGGTATAAACAAATTCCAGGAGGAGTTCCTCAGTATGTGCTGAAATTTCGTCATGACTTTAGTTCTCCAACCTATGGCTCTGGATTCTCCTCTCCAAAATTCACATCCACTCATCAGTCAACAACAGATTATCGTTTGATCATCAAGAATGTGGAGGAGGGAGACTCTGCAGTCTATTACTGTGAGACATGGGATGACTCTGCCAAAGAGGATGTATCAAAGTGATTTACACTGTGACAAAAACCTCTTACTTTTCCTTCTGCTTTTTTAGACTCTATACTGATCACAGCGCTGTCAAGTATACTCAGTGTAATATCTCCATAGCTGCATATAATGAATTTACAAACAAAAAATTGCTGTTTTTGATTTTCACTTATTTATTTTCACTTTTACTAACTACACTATGCATCAAATAATACACAGACAAGGGGTTGGCAGATTGATCTGATATCAATAGTATTGATACTTTACTTTCATCCTTTCCTTTTCCTTTGTCTGGTCTTCTCATGCAGGCACGCTTTGCCCATCCCCTGCACATGCCGAGGAAGGGCAAAGCACAACATGTTGTTCTGTGTTTAGTTGCACCATGCTCACATGACTCTGTGCCACTGAGCAGTGACATGCTGCAGCGATTGAAAGAGACATCATTTACACCTGTAAATGAAAATGGTACATGTTGGAAGGATTTTCTCTACTGTGGCAACAGCACCATCTTATATAAAGTCATGAAAGACCATGAGTAGGAGCAGAACGAAAATGCTGTAGTGATGACAGACTTACTGTACTTGGCAGATAAAAAATGAACGGTGGCTCAGAATTAAACAAGCATTTTTTGAAGATTAATTTACACCAAACATTTGACAGACGGCAAAATCATTTCCAACACCCCGAAGGACAGCAAGGAGATGCTTTCCAGGGATACATTGACGGGTGCCTAAATACTGTAGACCTGAGGAAGGCTGAGAGTTCCTCTTCCCCAGCCAAGAACGAGATGCCATCTTCCTAGAGAAGTTCCCCGGCAGGCACCGCTGGAACACTCACTGCTGAAAATGCCTCACTGCTGAAAATGCCTCACTGTGGGACTCGGTCAAGTCTCTAACTGAGAATGTGACCCAGCTCAGTGAAGAAAATAAGGATATAATTGGCTGTTTTTGATTACTTTTGGTTTTACCTCTATATTTCACCTTTAAAAACTATTTATCTTGCCTTGTTTGGTATCGCTCTTTTCACCACAACCTCACATGTCTGAATTTACTGTTTTTTTTTTTTTTTCATTTTGACATACTTAACACATCTGATGTAAAATCAGACAAAAAACATAAAATCAGTGTGTTGAGGAACCAGGGCACCCTGACAAGAAGGCATCAGTGGGCAAGAGATGAAAATAGGGTTGCTGTAATGCTAGTATGCAACCATGTAACCCTGGCGGTAGGGGTTACATGAATAGGATGAGGGACCTATGGATTCTTCGATACCCAACATCCAAAATGACGGTGAAACAACTAGCAGCTCAGTGTTCCAACATTTGAAAGAAGGGACTGCTCTCACAGCTAGAGATTGATGAGGTACAACATAAATGCTATGGCAATGGGGAGCCAGGACGCCAGGTCAGGGGCGAGATATCATCACCCCCACCCAAGATTGGGTACCAAGCCCCAAGCGCGATAGGAGAAGGATTGTTCAGTGTGAGAGGAACTGACCTGAAAGATAGGATCATGGCCAAGTTTGAAACCTCAATCCCCTGTAGCCAGTTACCAAGACTACGTGAAGTACCCTCAGAAGGTCTGCTAGATGATGTTAATGCAGCACTACGGACAATACCTACAGCTACCATTACCGAGACTAACAAGCTGATCTACAAGTTGAACAGCCACAAGGGGCAGTACCCTCCATGGAGAAGCAGGCTAAAGGCTAACATCAAGGTAGCACTGAGGGAGGTTAGTGGAGTTGCAGAAAGGTGCGATGAAGAAGGTGCCTAAGAAGTACAGGAACCTGTCCATACCTGAGGCTTGGAAACTGCCAAGCAACGACTCACAGCCTGGGCCAGCCGCTTGAAGAGATTTTTGTTAGAAAAACTTGTGTCATGACAGTTTGAAAAACATGTGTTGCCACTATATAATATACAAACTGTACACTGGTGAGCAAGGGTTTATAGGTTTAAATGTATAAAGGTCAAAGTTACGGTGAAACTACATGTTTCTGACCCTGAATTAATTTGCATCGTCAGTCAGTGAAGCATTACTTCTCTACTTCTTCATCCCCTTTTTCCCAGGATGCACCTGCAAGAGTTCATTTATTATTTACATTTACAGTACATGTAAATGAAGAAGTGTCAGCACTCTGTAACACTCTACATGTTTAAACTATTCTAATTAGGAAAAGCGTAGACATTAAATGATTTTTCTCTTTAAATATACAATTTCACCTGTCCACACACATTTTATTTTCAATAATTATCCAAGCTTGACATATTTTTCTGTAAATATTCTCTACATTACATTTAATAAAGCTGATAAATTACATTATACATCCTGAGGTATTGATGAGTGAATTAAGGTCAGACTGTATACGGTTATTGATATTGGTTCCAGAGGAGTTCAGTGTAACTCCTCAACCTCAAGTGGATCAAGCTAAGCTATCAATTAAATGATTCTACTCAAGTCTATTATGACTTAGTAAAGTAAGCAGGAGGACAGGCCAAATTAAATTTCAGTGTCAACCAGTTGGCTGGGCCTCTCCCATATCTACTGATTAGCCGTTCTTTTTGGTTCTGTAACTGCTCATGAAAATAAAACAACTTGGTGACAATATAAGCTGGGACTCTATTAGCTAATTTTTCTGTGTACATACTGTATGGACCCTGTGTTCAGTTGTTACCCATATGGAAAAGATATATATAAATCTTATCTTGTATTTGTCTTGTGTGAAACTTGTATGAAAAGCAAGAGTGAAAACAGATATAAGATCCCTTGAAAAAATTTATAAATGAAACTTGTATGTTTTGGATACTTATTAATACAATATATGAAAGTAATGAGAAAGTGGCCACTTTCATGACTAATCATATAAGCCTTATATGATTCACTATATGAAGTAGGCCACATCTTATGCAAGTTTTTACTATTTCTTTTCCATATGGGTATGTATTTCTAAATAAAGTGATATTTTATAAAATATTCTACTACATTAACCATTCCACTTTCATGAAACTTCAAGGAAAAGTTCTGGCATTTTAGTGGTTTGGATTATGTAATAATCCCATTGATCTGTAGTAAGGCATAGCACTTTGACTATTCTGTCTTGTAATTAGTGAAACATGAAAAAAAACATTCATATGTTTGTGCTATTTTATTTGATAACAACTCTTTATTTATATTATTGTTTTTTTGTCTCCTCAAAGTTCATACATTTATACTGTGTCCTAATTTTAAATCTATTGCTCCATCTTTTTAGTATCAAGAATGTGCTGCCCACACCTAGAAATATTTCATTAATTTTAAGTTGGTCAAACATAGGCGGTTGGCTAGATACTGCTCTGTGTTTGTCCAAACATACTAAGACACTAATCCATAATTTTAAAAAAGTAATTGTTATAGCATCAACAATACAGCTAAAGGACATTAACAAAGTAATATTAAAGCTCCTCCTCCTGTCAGTCTCTCTGAGTTTCAGTTATATATTAAATGGTTCACACCTCCTCTCTTCATCATACTTAGACAGTGCAATCTCTTTCTAAGTCCATTCTCAGCTCATACTGTCAACATGCTGGTGACTCTCTGTGTTCTCATCGCTGCTCTAACATGTATGAGACCTATTTATACTTCAGACTAATCTTAGTTTAGGTGCTGGATTCACATATCAGTGTGCTTCATATGACTCCATGTCTTATTGTTGTTTGCAGGTGTGAGTGGTGTGACGGTGGTGACACAGAAACCTATTTTATCAGTAAGAAAAGGACAGACAGCCACCATAGACTGTAACCTGGGGACTGTTACTGGTAGTGGTGCTCATTGGTATAAACAGATTCCAGGAGGAGTTCCTCAGTTTGTGCTGTATTTTTATCATGGCTATAGTTCTCCAACCTATGGCTCTGGGTTCTCTGCTCCAAAATTCACATCCACTTATCAGTCAACATCAGATTATCGTTTGATCATCAACAATGTGGAGGAGGGAGACTCTGCAGTCTATTACTGTCAGACATGGGACAGCTCTGTTAATGAGTACGCATCACAGTGATTTACACTGTGACAAAAACTTCCTCACTAATACTTCTGCTTTTTGACACTCTTCCACATCCTGATAACTGAGAGATCAAGCAACTCAGTGTTAACCCACCAACTGCAGATAATGTGTTGCAGTTTTTCTCAAACAATTTTTGCTCATTTCTCAAAGGAGAAAAGTCATAGCACTTTCCAATCAGTTCTAAAAAACATGATAATGAATAAATGTAAAACTTTCACCACCCTATAAAGACAGAGTCATCAAAAAAAATAAAATTCTCAAAACATTACTAACTTTGGAAACAGTTCTGCATTAATGCAGGTCTAATAGTGCAAACATTTTTCAGAAATAAAATATGAAGGAACTTTTGGAAACGTTACATAACTAACGTAATGGAGAAAAGCAAATTGTTACTCATGAAACTCTATGCATCAGAAAGCAGGCAAAGAAAATATAAAAAAACTGAGAACGTGGCACCAACTAATGTATAGTCCAGTACAGTCACGGTACATAAATTCAACAACCACTTTATTAGGGACACCTGTTCCAGTGCTTATTATAGTGATCCAAATATCTAATATCTAGTAACTTGAAGCTAGCAATGTACATATCTAGATATGGTCAAGACAGACTGCAGAAGTTCAAACCGATCATCAGAATAAAGAAGAAAGATGACTAAACATGAGATGGTTATTGATGTTAGACAGGCTGGCGTGAGTATTTCAGACACTGTTAATGTACCGGGATTATTTTTTTGCACAACCATCTCTAGGGTTTACAGGGATGGAGGACTCAAATTAGAAAATATCCAGCGAGCAGCAGTTTTTGGTGCAATGTTTCAAAACAAGCTATGCAGAAGAGCATCTTTGGGAGCACCGTACATCTGACCTTGAAGCAGATGGGCTACAGCAACAGAAGGCCAAAATGAGAGCCACACTAACAGCTACAACAACTTTTTCAAGAATATTATTTTATGACAGACTTGAGCCTGAATGATGAATATGAATCAGAAACATGTGAAACAATGTGAACAACAATGTGAAACTGCTCATGAATCATTTAATCTATGAGTGAAAGTAGTCTTCTTGAATCTCCTCCTCCTTTAGTTTGCCTCTCCTCTTTATAAGCTCCAGCTCTCTTCTCCTACTCACATATCGCTAAACAAACAAGATCATTTACACCTCACACTGACAACATGCTGTGGATCCTCTGCACTCTCATTACTGCTCTAATGTGTAAGATCTTGTTCTTATTCCATTTTTTGTCCATATTTAGAGCTAAACTTTAAACTTCTGTTTTTGTGTGTGTTTCCTGGCAGATGTTGATGCAGTGATCGTGTTGACCCAGACACCTGCTGTCCACACAGTTTCTCCAGGTCAAGAAGTTGTTCTCAACTGCAACATAGAGAGATATGATGCAAATTATGTTAGCTGGTATAAACAAGTTCCTGGAACGGTTCCTCAGTATGTTCTAAGATTTCATCATTCTAGCAGCTCACCCAGCTTTGGAACAGGATTCTCCTCAGACAGATTCAACTCTAAATCCTCATCAGACATTGATTACCAGTTCATTATCAAGCGAGCAGAGACAGGAGACTCTGCAGTGTATTACTGTCAGACATGGGATGACTCTGCTTCTGCACCCGTATCACAGTGATTCAGGCTGTGACAAAAACCTCCTCATTAGTACTTCTGCTTTTTGAGAAACTTTCACATGCAAAAAAAAAAAAGACCCATAAAAAAACCCCTGTAAATCCTCCATTTTTAAATCATTTTTAATCTTTATTATTAAAGGCATAAAGAGGAAAGCACTGAAATATGTACATCTCATTTACTCACATCAACCCGAACAGATCACATAAATCAAACTATCCAACATATAGTATTATATGTTGCTGCAAGCTATTTTCAATAACAGAAATTTTATGGACACTACTCACAGGTCTAACTGTCCAACAGCAGTTTAACTTATCATTTAAAATAAAGTGTAATTAACATGCAGTTTAAAAAATATATATAAAGCTATACTGAAGCTAGTTTAGAACTTCTAGACCATGTTCATTTAGTTTTGATTATTCAGAAACATATTTTTAAGGCAGAAGGAAAATATAGAAGGGTGAGGATAAGGACACTAGTGACAAATGTTTGATTCTTTTACAACCATTTTTAAGAACATGGTGTGATTTATTGTAGCTATTGTATTATTATGGTATATATTTTTCTATCATTTGTAAAAATGATGACGATCAAACTGACTGACATAATACTCATGGGAAGGAAATATACAGTATTTACTCAGTGTCTTTTCTGCACACTGCAATTCTGTCAAGAATATGTGAATGCGTTTTAAGTATTTTACTTGTTTAAATGATTAGCACTAGTGCTCATAAACCACAACATAATGATCTGTGAATGTGCTTGAAAGCGATTGTTTACAGTACACAGCAGTTATGTTAAAAATATGCTTCTCTGTTATCTGAAATAGAAATTACAAAAACTAAAAGTTTTTTTATTTGCAAAAACTAACAGATCAAAAAAATACATTCCCCAATCAAACAAAACAAACTTTGTTATTGATGACTGATGAATAAAAAGAACAAAAAAGAATGCAGTACAGTAGAATTGTATTGCATGGGATCATTTTACAAAAACTAATGCCAACAAATAACTAAAGCACAATAAACAATAAACATTGAGCTTATTTGAAATTCATCCATCCATCCATTCGCTTCCGCTTATCCTTTTCAGGGACGCGGGGGGCGCTGGAGCCTATCCCAGCTGTCATAGGGCGAGAGGCGGGAGTACACCCTGCACAGCATCAGGAAAAAGGAGCACGAGAAGCTTGAGAAATACCAAAGGCTCAGAGAAGAGCTCGAGAAGATGTGGAGGGTTAAGGTAACAGTGGTCCCAGTGGTAATTGGAACACTCAGTTCGGTGACTCCCAAGCTAGGTGAGCGGCTCCAGCAGATCCCAGGAACAACATCAGAGATCTCCGTCCAGAAGAGCGCAGCCCTAAGAACATAAATAAACATAAATCAGAATAAATTTGATAGTATTGACATTATATAAATATACATTACTGTTACGGTGTGTTTAACATTTTAAAGTAGAGTAATAAGATGCAGCTAATCCAAATTACAAGGCTGCCCTGACTTCAGATCTTCTAGATCAAGAGAACTTATAGAAATTTAGTTTGGATTAATCAGAAACACATTTAAAAGGCAGAAAGAAAGGTTGAAATGTCCTCCTATCATTCATTTTTCTGTTTTTTTTTTCCCTGGAACATCCTTCATATATTTTCAGGCTCCAGCCTCCCTCCTCCTGTCCTGACAGTCTTCCCTCCGTCCAGTGCTGAGCTCCAGTCCAACACAGCCTCTGTGGTCTGTCTGTCCAGTCAGTCTGTGCCTTTTGCAGATGTGAGCTGGTTGGCTGCTGGGAGTCCAGTGAGCAGTGGGATCTCGACCAGCACTGCTGTTCAGAGATCAGACCAGACTTACCAAATCAGCAGCTCTCTGACCATCCAGACATCAGACTGGAACATGGATAAGGTTTATACATGTAAAGTGTCTTTGGGCTCGCAGACTTCAGAGAAAACCATCAAGAAGTCAGAATGTCCCACTGAATAGTCGAGGACCAGAGTGTGCTTTTAAAATCTGCTTCTTTACTGCTTGTGCTGTTTGTTCATTACAGTCTTTACATGTTAGAAATCAATATAAAGCAAAATATTTTAGTCATGTATTCATTTGCTGGCCATTAACAAGTATTTCCAGGAATTCGTGTTTTGTATTAAATCAATAAAAGCATTGGTTTGAAAAATGTGTTTTCTTGTGAGTAAATAAGAAATTGTGTCACTGTCAGCAGACATTTAATGTAACTGAAATGAACTGGGAAATTTTAGAGAGGGGAACAAAGAAGAAAAAAATTACTCACAAGCACACAATTTTTAATCGTATTGTTCCCGTAGTTAAAACATAAGTATGTTCTGAATTACGCGTTATGTAATATTTGTACACTAGAGAGCATCATTTAATAATTCTTCCTCAGTAAGAGAGAGGGCAAGTGTCACTGGTCTAAAATGATTGTTGTAGACTTGATGTTTCTTCATGTCCAGGATGCAGCTGCAGGTCTTAGTAACCTCAAGTAAATAAAGTATCAGCTCTCTGTAAAATAAAATACAGTGCTGTTTACTAGCAATGTTTCAGTTCATATCATTTGACCATTAAGAGAAAGCTGAATACTGTTCGATTTTTGCCTAAACATAACTTTATTTACTTTACTAAGGAACACTAAATGGAGTCCAGTTATGAAACTAAACCTGTTACACCCCGGCCTATGGGAAAAAAAAAAAGAAGAAATTATAATGCCCCCGCTCCCTGCTCCCAATCCTGCCACAGTATTGAAGTTTCACAACAACCGGATATGTTTTTTAATTTCGAAAGATTGAAAGCATCAGCGTGGGCATGGCCAAAGCAACAAAATACACTCTAGAAATGAAACAGAACTGACTTACCTATAACGAGAAACCCGAAAGAAAATGCAGGCCTCTTACCTGTCTCCCTAACCTAAACAGGAGATAAAGGTCTTAAAAGAAAAATTCTTCCCACCCCTACAGCCACCACATCAAAAAGAAAAGGTCTATTTACGCTATTTACAATATATAGAAGACAACCAAGCTCTTCTCATTACAAAAACTTGGTCACACACACATAGCACCCTACACAAGACACAGGGCTAAATGTACAGCTTCTTTGGAAGCAGGAAGTAGACAGGCCACCAGTCTTGACAGGTCCCACTTTATAGCCAGCCTCAGTCCATCCTCCGCCAATGATCCACCTTCACCTGGAACTTACAAAAGCACAAACAACACACATGATCATGACCTGGGTCATAACAAACCTTTCTGCATCATTTTTCTGTTATTTGCTGTTTTGCATTGAACATTAAAACCATTACAAATGACCAGTAGGTAAGTCTGTCTCATTCAGGATGTAGCTTTTTTACAAACGGTATTTTTATTATTTATTTATCTAAAAATGGTATTTTTCATTTTCTGGTATTTATTTAATTATTTAATTAGATGATCTCACTGTCCTGGTATCATTAAGTTTAATAATGATGCTAATATAAGCAATTATCTATAGGTATCTAAGAGGAACAAAACTGAATGAAAAACACAAAACACTGGGCAGAAGACCTGTGACCATGACACATGAAGGCAATCCATTTCACACTTTGTAAAAAAGGCGTCTCCTTTCATAAAGATTTCCCTTATAAAGACTTCTTTTATAATGTTCATCCATTGTTTAAGACTTGGCAGTACAAGTTTATACCAGTTATTTGTGTTATTTTTTTTGTAACAAACAATGAACAATATTTTCATGAAAATGGTACCAGACCTTTTTTAATCACAACATCACTTGAATTACTCCAAAATACAGCACCAAGGCATCTACAGGGATTTCACAGCCTAGCTTCTTTCTTAGAGTTAGAGTTATTGTCCCAAAATATTACAATTTTATTGCACGTCCAAAGGTTTTGTGAGTGGGTGGCATTTATGTGACCACACCGTCTCTTGCTGTTGTGACCTACATTGCTTTTGAGGTGTAACAAAAACACAAATTTGATTTTTTCCTGCAAAATTCTCCCCAGTTTTTTGAGCTTGTGTGTCACCCACATAGCAGATCAATCTTCTTTTGCTATTTGTATGTCTAGTTTTTATTTCCCATTTTGTTTTATTGTCAGTATTATTCCCTTTGTGCTTCTGGAGGCCTTGGTATGCTTTTCCATCCCATGTTACGATGATGTAATAGGGTGAAAGGAGGAGACACAACTCCTCCTCCTGATACTCGTATTAAATGGCTCCTCCAGCACCTTTTCCTCAAATCAGTTCTTAGTTCACGTCGACATCATGCTGGTGACTCTTTGTGCTCTCATCACTGCTCTAACATGTAAACACTTTGACTATTATTGCACACATATATACTAATGTCCGTGTGTTTCTCTTGATTCCATGTCTTATTGTTGTTTGCAGGTGTGGGTGGTGTGACAGTGGTGACACAGAAGCCTGTTGTATCAGTGAGGAAAGAAGAGACAGCCACCATGGACTGTAACCTGGGGACTGTTACTGACCAGTCTGCTCGGTGGTATAAACAGATTCCAGGAGGAGTTCCTCAGTATGTGCTGAGGTTTCGTCATGACTATAGTTCTCCAAACTATGGCTCTGGGTTCTCCTCTACAAAATTCACATCCACTCATCAGTCAACATCAGATTATTGTTTGATTATCAAGAATGTGGAGGAGGGAGACTCTGCAGTCTATTACTGCCATACATGGGACGGCTCTGTTAATGAATACGCATCACAGTGATTTACACTGTGACAAAAACCTCTTCACTGTTACTTCTGCTTTTTGACACTCTTCCACATCCTGATAACTGAGAGATCAAGAAAACTCAATGTAAACCCACCAACTGCAGATAATGTGTTGTCTGCAGTTTTTCTCAGTCAAGATTTTGCTCATTTCTTACAGGAAAATCATTATAACACTCGTTATGCAGTTCTCAAAAGAGTTAGGGCATTTTTATAACACAGGCTCACCGGTGCAAAACACACTTCGACAATAAAAAAAAAATCCTTTTCACATTTCAATCACTTCAAAACTGGGATGAATGTATATAAAAATATTCTGCAGTACATCAAAAACGAAAGAAAACCATTAATCAACATATGAACATTACCTCTGACGTTACAGCGGTTTTATTAGAGAGAGAGCTAAGCGTTTTGCATTTAGCATAATTTTAAAAAGTTTACATTTGTTCAGTATATTGAACGGCAGAAATTAGGTTTTCTTTTCGGAAGTAAGTAAAAGGAAAGAAACAACAACAGCCGACAGGCTGTAAACAATGGTAGACTTGCGCGTAACAAGCAAGCGAATAATGCAGAAAACAGATTTTTAGACTCAGGATTTTAATGAATCGATTTCACGTTATCCAAGCCAGAATCGATTTTAATTGATAAATTGATTATAAAAACCCACCCCTAACCTCCCTTGTCTCACTCCTCCTCACATGGAAGAGTAATTCAGACTGTGACCAAGACCTGAATAAGATATACTACAGCTTTTAAGGAATCTGAACGACATTTAACATTTCCACTCATTTGCAGCAAATATAAACAGATTGATGAGGGAAATGACATGTTGACAAAGCATTTAGAATATGCCTTTTTACTGCTTGTGCTGTTTGCTCAATGCAAAGTTTACATGTTTGAAATCAGAATCAAGTAAAATGTTTAAGTCATGTGTTTATTTGCAGATATTCAAAGGAACTGATATTTTGCATACATCAAATAAAAGCATTCGATATTGGATATACAACATTTGTTTTCATTTTTAGTAAACAAAAATACACTTTTAACGTAGCTACTAACATAAATTTAGAATGACAAACCTGAAACTGTTACATTTTACTAAGGTGAAGATACAAGAACATAATCAGTGTGTAACCACATTTGTGAAATTTCCACTCTTACTCTAAATAAGTGCTCCAAAAATGTATGTGTTTCTATATTTGTAGACTGGCAAGTAACATTACACAATTCTGCCTGGCTACACAAAGAGAAATGTCTAAAACGTTGGTTGTAAATTTGTAAATAAATCTTCACACTCAGTTAATGAAGCATCACATCTCCTCCCTCTCTTCCTGTCCAGGATACATCTGCAGTTCTCGATGTCTTTTATAACTTCATGCAAATGAAGTTATGTCAGCTCTCTGTTAAGTGAGATGGAACTTTCCTGGATTATAAAATGTAATTCATATTATTATATTTTCAGGCTGCATTTTACTATAATTTGGTAAATTAGAGGCAGTTAACTGTTTACTTCTTTGGTTTGGTCCATTAACTTCCCATGATAAAATAAACTAAATGGAGTTCAGCTCTATAACTAATCTTTACTGCAGCTCTACTCTCAACTCTACTCTTATACAGTTCACTTGGTCTTCAGGAACTGCCTGTTTGTTCTTTCCTCATGAGTATTGTCGTGTATCAGTAAGTACTAGTAGGTACAGGACTGCACCAGTGCAGGATTCGACAATGTGTCCAAGGATTATGTCTGATACCTAATGACAGTCAGGGTGCTGTTGGCTAGCCTGTAGAGGTCTGTGTGTCACTATTTGGATATACACGAGTGGTCACAAATGGTCATCCTGAACAATGTTACAGGCAGCTTAACATTTTAAAGGCTTCTTGCAGGGCTCTCACAATGCTCATCCTGTTTGTTCTTCCCTACACAAACAACTGATATCAGTCCTGCTGATGGGTTAGGGACCTTCTGCACCCCCGTCCACCTGTCCTAGAGTAACTGACTGTCTCCTGGAATCTTCTCCATCCTTTTGGGACTGTGCTGGGAGACACAACAAACCTTCTGACAATGGGACATATTGATGTGCCATACTGGAGGAGTTGGAGTCCATTTTTTTCTTCATTCTACCAGCTATGACACTGACCATAGCCAAATGCAAAACTAGTGAAGAAACACTCAGAAAAAGTAAAAGGGGAAAATGCCAGTGACTTCCAGGTGTAAAATCATTTCTGTTTTGATTGTTCTTTCATTATTGCCTGTGTCGTGCACCTGTTTTTGATTGCATTTACACCAAAGGAGCTGAAATTGATTAATTTTGGAATGGTTTATAGTTGTTATAGTTGATACTTAATCT